ACATCCCTTGGGCATTCTCTGCTGCAAAGCCGGGGATTAGGGATGGTGCTGAGGCTCTCTGAAGTGTCACTGAAGTTTGGGTGTTGTGCAACTTTTGGGGGGATATGTTGGACTCAGAGAGCCCAGGGCTGGGATGGGAGGGTGGTGGGCAATGGGGTCTCTGGACCTTCTGCAACTGCTCACCATGGTTCCAACCATTATGCTCCAACCTGTGCTTGATTTGCCCATGTCTGTGGGTCCTTGGAATGTGACCAAGGTTCTGAGCTGTTTCAGAGGTTCTGGTACGATACTGACGTTCTGGGGGCTCATGGGGCTGCCAGGTTCCAGGAGTTCTTGTGGTATTACTATAATTCTGGGGATATTGCTGAGATTCTGGAGGTGCTTTGGGGGATCAGGGAATCCTTGGGGGTGTTTCTGAGATTTTGGGGATGCTGCTGGCCTTCCCTATTGCCTCTGGCCCACTGTTAGCTCCTTTTAAGCCTAGCACTTTGCCCTTTGAGGATTTTGATAACCACAGGCTGCTGAAGGCGCACACGTGGGCCTCTGTTCCTGGACGCAAATATTCCTCAGATTTAATCAACTTGAACAAAAACATGGGGAGGAAGGAAGCCCTGTCCCAAGGCCTTCATGGGCCAGCCCCAGCCCCAGGGGCAGAGCAGAGCAGCTCGTGCCAGGCCCAGGTAGCAGATGGCCTTTGTCTTCTCAGAACCCAGAAGCTTTTTGTGACCCCTTCTTACAGTGAGCAGGGCTTAGGCCCCCAATCTGTGCCCCGCTGGGATTCCCTCAGGTATTGCTACCAGCCTCTTCTGAGTGTACCCACATGGGCTCACGCAGACCACACCGGACTGGCACCCCTGCCCCGTCTTCTTGCCTTCCAGACTCCCCTTCTTAGCTCTCCTAAGGCACCTCATTCTTACTACCATTGCTGACCCTGTCTGACATTGGTGCCCTGCTCCAGGCCCCCTCCTCCAGGAAGCCTCCAAGACTGCCCAAGACGTCTCCTTATAAATCCCCCTCCCCACCCCTCTTCTCCGAACTTCTACAGTCTGTCTCTGAAGTCCCTCCACTCTCCAGCCCCTCCTCTCCTGATGGCAGGTACCAGTTTCCGACTCTTCTGGGTATGAGTCACCCTATAAAGCCAACTCCCGTGGGTCAGCTGTGGACTCTGCTGCCAGGTGGAGAAATTCGTCAGGAGCACATCATTACCATCTTTCTCTTCTCAGTACATTTCCTGGCCTGCCTGCAGCCTGGCCAGGTGACATCTCTCCTAACACCTTGGTGCCAACCCTCCCATTTTACAGATGTAAGCACCAAGCCATTCCAGCTCTGAGCTGAGGAGGTACTTTGGACTCAAGAAGTGGGGTTCCCCTCCCAGCCTGAGCTATGTAGCCCCCCAGTATGCATGGTTCTTCCACGTGGCCTGCCTCCCTCCCTGCCCCACCAGCATGGATGGGGGAGTGGGGGGGTAGCGGGGGGGGCAGGAGGGTGGGTAGAAGATGATAGGGGACACCTGGGTAGTCACAGCCTCTGTGGCTTTGACCTTCTCGCTACAGCCAGTGGCTGGTGTGCTACTCCACATTCTTGGGCCGTGAAGTCATTGAGGGCAGGGAGTAGGGGCCTCAGGGAGAGCAGAGCCCATAGTCAAAGCCAGGCTGGAAGCCCCACCCCTCCTGGGACAGAGGAAGGGTTGAGACCCAGAGAGGCCAAGGGAATCGCAGCCAGCCCCAGGGTTCAAACCCAGGTAAGGCTGCATCCCCGACCAGGGCACTTCCCACTCCATATAGGACCTGTGCTTTCCCCCCTGGGCCTGCTCCTGCCCGTTGTCCGTGTGGCCTCCATCAAGGCGCGGCCTGCTGTCCACTGCGCCCACACCCAAGCAGAGGGACAAAGCTCACAATTTCTTCACCTCTGGTTGGGGCCTCCTGAAGGCGACCTCTGCATCTCCCCAGTGAGGAGGGAGGTGATCTCATGGGCCCTGGGATATCCCTGGGGGAGGCCGCTAGAAGGCATCCACTGCAAGTCCCTTTGGGGGCAGAGCAGGGTTTGGTGGGGGGAGAGGTGCTGTGGGGAAGGGATTGGGTCAGGGACTGGGTCTGGGCTCAGCTGGGCCCCTCCCTGCCAGCCTGGCTCAGCCCCTGAGGCTGATGGAGGCTCCTTCAGGCAGCCTGAATGTCTTTCCTCAGTGCCCAGCTAGGTACCCCTCTCTTCCCCCAGGTCTCTGCTCACACGTCACCTCCTCTGCGGGGCCTTCCCTGACCATCCAGCCTAAAGCAGCCACCTTCTGTCTGTCTGTCTCTCTTCTCTCGCCCCACTTTATTTTCCCTCTCAGCGCCATGACACGTTTGTCTCCCCACTCTCCCCCGTACCTCTCTTGCTCATTGCTACATTCTCAGCATGTAGAACCTTGCCTGGTGCATAATCAGGATGCAATCAACATTTGTTGCGTAAATGACTGAATGAACAAACCAGACCGGGGAGGCTTCCTCCAGGGAAGGAAGAAGTTTCTGACAGGCAGAGTTGCCCAGCGAGGAACATCTCTGCCTTGTATAGAGGGAGTGAGCTCCCCATCACAGACTGGACTCCAATTGTTGGATAGATCACCAGGGGGATTTAAGATCAGATAGAAGTTAATTGCTCTCTAGGCTGGGGGTCCAGAACTCCTGAGCAGAGAAGGGGGTGCGGGACTCTGGTGTTGGAGCAGAGCCTCTGAAGTGCCTGGCTGGAGACATACACAGGAGCCTGAACACGGCAGGCCTGTGGAGGGGTGATGGTCACTAGAACGAGCAATGGCTTGGCCAAACCCAGGTCGTAAAGTCCTCGTCACCCGAGAGCCCCATACTGGGTGTGTACCAGCGGAATAAGGGAGGAAGAAGAGAAGAGGCCGAGTTCTGCCCCCAGGACCTCACAGCCAGGCTTAGGAGGCTGGATTCACCCCCAAGTTCCTGGGAACAGATGGGCAGTGCGGGCTCCTGCATTGCATCACAGAGAGTTCAGGTTCAGTTCTGAGTCAGCTGCCGCTGACAGCTCTGCGGGAGGGGGAGGGGTGGTCTGAGCCCTCTTCCTGGAAGAGGGTCATTTGGGAAGGAGGGGGAGAAGCCAAGGCTGACATGGCATCAGGCCCTAATCCTGGAAGGCCTCGTGGGCCTGGCTATGAAGTTTGCATGGGGAGCTTTTAGGATTTCAAGCTCAGTCTCCATTGAGCACCCCCTCACCCCGGGGGGCTGTTCCCTCTATGAGGATACCCGCTTCCTTCTCCTCCACTCCCATCCTCAAGACCCCCACCCTCCGCACAGCTGACTTTTCCTTGCCCTCAGATCTCCATGAAAAGATTTATTTTTTCGGGAACCCCTCATTTTTTTTGGACCAAATTCAGCTTCCTATGGTATACATCAGAGCGTTCTGTGCCTTCCCTTTGTAGACAGGAAGACTCAGACTCGTGGTTATTTACCTACTTGTCTGTGCCCCCCCCGAAGTGTAAACTCTCACATGCCAGGGCCCAGAATAGTGCCTGCACTTAGTAGTTGTTCAATGAATTTATGTTAAAAGAATAAATGTATGAATGCCTTTAGAAAAAACACTTGTGGAATGAGTGCCTTAGCTGGAGGGTGTGTGTGGCCCGGGGTCCCCTGGGGTATTGGAAAGACAGGGACCTTCAGATGTTCACGGGGCCTGACCACCACCCAGGGACAGGGGCCTGAGAAGGGCTCACTGTCTTTATCTGATTCTTGTTTCCCTTCCGAGCTGGGGCCAGGAAGGGGAGGGGAGCCAGCCAGGGGTACAGCTTCTCAGGGGCAGGGTGGGGGGATGGAGAGGGAGCCCCAGCCCCTGCCTGGGCCCTGCCTTCCTCACCCTCACCCCATAGCGTGGGAGGAACCGTGGACAAGAGGGGTTCTTCTTGCTTACCCGTGGGTCTGGTTTGTGTTTAGAGGACTAATCTCCGCCTCATGAGGGTGAGTTATCTCCTTGTGCAATCAAGTTGGAGAAACCAGAAGTTTTTACCAGTGAGACACATGTTGCCTCCTTCATGGAAACCCAGGAGAAGGAGTGGACAGGCTCCCCCTCCCCGCCTCCGCCCCTGGTCCAGCCCCAGCTGCTCCTTGGGTTGCCAAACGCTGGACTGTGTGCGTGGTGCCCTGCAGATGCAGAGGGCAGAGGTGTGGGCGCTTGGGGGGGGGGCACAGGAGGCAGGTATGTGTGCGCAGCCTGGTGCCGGACCCTCCTGGCCACACGCCTGCAGGGCTCAGGCCGCGTGGAGCTGGGGCCTCCTACCCTGGCGGGGCACTTTGTCAGGACCATGATGTGATCCCATCACTGAGGGCCAAAGGACGCAGAGAGGGGCAGGCTAAGGCTGGGGGTGGGGTGGGTGGGGGGGTTGTCTCGGGGAAGCCTAACAAAGAGGGGGATTGGGCTGACCCCTGACGGCAGGAGGGACCTGGATCCCAGCTGGGAGGTTCCAGCTATGTTGGGCCTGCCTGCTGCCCGCCCACCCTTTCATCTCTGCATCTCCTTCCTCCCTGCCCTTCCTTGAGTGTGTGTCTGTGGGTCATTTGGGTGGCTTTGGGGAGGGGGAAGGAAGGGGGGGGTTTCTGTGGGCAGCTTGGATTGGACAAACTTTCTTTGAAAATGGGCCTTTGCACAGAGGCTGGTGGTCAGACGAACAGGCAGGTGCTCCAGCAAGAGCCCCAAAGACCCCGAGGGCCGCCCTCTTCCCAAGGGGATAACTCCCTGCAGGAGCGGGCAAGACGGGGCGGGAAGGGACGGGAAGGGACTCGAGGAGCCCTTCCCCTTTTCCCTGTGCCAGCGGGTCGGCCCAGGCCCTCTCTCCCAGACGGGCTTTTCCCAGAGAGCTAAAAGCAAGAAAGTAACCTTTAGAATTAAACAGAAACGTTTCTTTGTTTGGGTTTCTTTCTTTTTTTTTTTCTCCCTAAGCCTCTTTTCACATCTGTAGTGGTTTTCCCCCACTTGTCCAGGGGAGGGGGGGCAGAGGAGAAAGGCCGGAGAATGTCGTCCCAGGCAGTGGGGAACCAGACCTCCTCCGGGGCCGCAGATGACTACTCCAACTGGTACATCGATGAGCCCCAGGGGGATCAGGAGCTCCAGCCAGAAGGGTAAGTCTGTCTACCCGCAGAGTGGGGTGTGGCAGAGGTTACTGATGGGGGGATGGGGAAGCCACTGGTAAGATGAATTGTGCTGCCTTTTGCTGTGTGACCCTTGGCAAGTCACAGCGTCTCTGGGCTTCAGACTCCTGTTACCGGAGAAAAACAGCCCTGGCCCGGTGTTGATACTTGAGGTGGGGGTCCTGGGCCAGGCTGTCACTTCAAAAGCATCTGTGTGGTTTGTTAAAAATACAACCTCCTGGGCCTTCTCCTTGCAAATTCAGATCCATCCAGTCTGGGGCGGCTCTGGCCAGTAGCTGGGCTGCAGCGTGCTGGCTGAATGATTGAGGGAAGTTGGGCCTGCCTTCAAGGGGTTTCTGGTCCCTCTGGTGACCACCCGGGGTGTGGTGGCCACCAGCTGTCACGCCCTCTGGGCAGCCCAGGGCAGGGGGAGGCCTGAGGAAGAAAGCCTGGGGGGAGGGCCCTTGAGGAAAGATGCCTGATGCCTTTGGCCGGTTCTCAGTCTCCATGAAGATGAGGAGGCCCTTTCTCTTTTGCAGGAGTGCTCAGGCGAGCCCAGGGGAGGGAGGCAGCCTCGGCCCAGTCCAGTGTGGCCAGAGGGCTTGGCCCACGGCTCCCTTTGCCAGACCCTATCTTTGTCTAGTCTGGGCACCCTGGCTGAGGGGCTGGGCCTCCCTGGGCCCCATATGCTGCCAAGGACGCCTGGCCTGTGCGGGCCCCAGAGCCCGGTTCTCCCCTTATTGTTCCCGGCCCTTGCCCCATCCCCCACCTCCCTGCTCTGACTGAGGGTTTGGGGAGCTGGAAAGGTGAGGCTGGGGGGTGGGGGTGGCCGAGCCAGATGTGCACACATCTGCTCTCCATCAACACCTGAAACTAGAGAAGGAGAAACGCTGGTGCGCCCCCCCGGGGGCTGGGACTGTGGCCTGGCCAGGCTTGGGTCACTGGCAGGGACAGAGGCCCCAGCTAAGCCTCATGCTGGGAGGACTCAGGGTGCTGGCCACCCGGTCAGCAGCCCTGGGTCGGCAAGGGTGCTGGCCGAGCCCTCCCCTTGTTGCTCCGGACAGCCCGCAGGCTCCCCTTGTCCTGCTGCATAGTTTTGGAGTGGGAGAAGCAGCAGAATGGGGAGGGGCCCAGGACCCTGTGAGGATATGGATCCTGACCTGGGGTGAGACCTTAATCTGCAGCTGTGTCCTTGGGAGCCTCAGGGCCCGGGCACTGGCTGGGGCCAGGCTCTTCAGATACGGCCTCAGACTGAAGCTGGGTACACGGCAGGGCCCGGGCGACGGGCAGCACTGACTCTAGCGTGTGAGGCATCTGCAATCTGCAACTGCCTTCTCCCACTGCAGGCAACAACGGGGAGGTTTGTTTTTGACTCTACTTACTTGGTCAATCCAAGTGGCCTTGCTTGTCCCCTAAGCGCCACCCCTAAAAGTGGAAGCTCAAGGGGAATCCCAAGGAGCTGAACTTGGGCCCACCTCTCCCTGAGTGAGTCAGACACCCCAGGGAGATGGTGCACTGAAGCTTCGAGGCGCTCCTGATGTTGGGCCCCCCCTGCACCTCGGTGTGCCCCCAGCAGGCTGGTTCGGGCTGGTGGGCACTGGTTCCAGTGGCCAGCTGGACTCTGTCTCCTGGTCACACTTGTCCAGGTGCCCTCATGGTGGAAAGACCTGGTTGAAAAGATTGGGAAGGGAGTAAGTCTGATGGGGGTGGGATGTGTCATGTGGGGTCTTCTGTGGCGCACGGGACTGATCCATGGAAGCCTAGCTGGCCCTTTCCTACCCCCGGAGCCCCCCTGACCCGGTCATGTACCCAGCCTGACATCTGCCCACATGGTATCCACTTATCACTAACAGCCAGAGCCTGGGGACATGAATGCCTGTGGCAGCCATCCAGGATGACACCCACCTCCCCACCACTTCACGGGGCTGCCTGGGGAATTGGAGGCTTCCCTCCTGGCCTGCCCTCCCAGCATGAGGCCAGCACCAGGGTCATTGGCAGGCCCTTCTGCTGGGGGGGGGGGGTGACATGGGGGTGGGTATCAGGACCCGCACCCCAGACAGTCGGCCTTTTCCCTCTGAGTGGGGCCCTTTGTAGGCTCCCGCTCAGAGACTAACTTCTAGAAACAGTTGTCCCGCTCCTTCTTTGTCTCAATGTCCTCACCACTCTGCAGTCCGGCCTCTGTCTGAGTGTCTGAGACCAAGCCTCGCTTCCTTGGCTACATGTGATTCTGGTCCTCACCTCTCCTCTTGGAATAAGGCCTAAAACTCTGCAGTCATTCTGGAAACCCCCTTCCCTCTGCTCTTCCATCTCCAGGCATCTACATTCTTCCTCCTATATACGTCTGAGGTGCAGCCTGTCGTCTCCCTTCCCCAGTCGCTGCTTACGCTGAACTCCTTGAAAATGTGAATTTTCAACTGTTTTTGATGTACAGAAATGACACTTTCATATGGTTCAACTTAAAACTTCCTTCCATACTCCTTACCTCTCCCCTCCTGGTCAGATGTGGGGGCTTGGAGCCAGACAACCTCAGTTCGAATCCTTACTCTGCTGCTTTCCGGTGTGATTTGGGCAAGATACTTAGCCTCCCTGAGCTTTGGTCTCCTTGTCTACACAACGGGGACAATAATAGCACCCACTTTGTCAGTAATACCTGAGTTAATACAAGGAACAAACAGCGTCTGGCACGTAGTCAATTCTTAGTAAGTACTAGTTACTACTGTTGTTATTATTCAAATTGAGCCCCAGAAATCTCCCCAGATCCAGAACACCGGCCTGCTCCAACACCCTCAATGGCTCCCTAGTGCCTCCCATGCCTTCTGTGACCTGCTCCCGGCCTGCCTGCAACCTTATAGACTGCAGGCAAACGGAAAGCCTTGCCTGGCCCCAGCCACACCGTCTGCTGCCTGTCACTTCGCTTCCTTGTGTTCCTCCCTCTACACGGAGCTCCCTTTCCCCTTCTTTGCCTCAAAAGATGCTAACCATCTTTTAAACTCACATCAAATGCCACAGGGCAAATCGTAGGACCAAACACTCAATTGCTCCACCCAGGCAAGAGGCTCCGCCACGATTCTGAGAAAGAGAGGTCTATGAGGCCTGGAGCAGTCAGAGGCTTCCCGGAAGAGGGGGGAATGAAGTGGCCTTGAAGGCTAGGAAGAATGGGTGAGAAAGAAGAGGGGCTGGGTTGAGCTGGCCCACTCTGTTTCTCCCATGCCTTCTCCTGGGAGCCCCCTGTCTCCTTCAGCCCTGTAACCTCAGAGCGCACCATGAAGGGCATGGAAACCCTGGAACAGCCCTAGAAGGTGGAGCTGGGCCAGCTTGCAGAGGAAGATCGGAGGGTGGAGGGAGGTGGTGGGCGGAGCTCCAGTGTAGACAGCCTGGAACCCCAAACCCGGCTGGCTACACACCCAGGCCTGAGCCAACCTTCCCTTGCTCTCTGCAGAGTGGTGCCCACCTGCCGCCCCAGCGTGCTGTCGGGTCTCCTCCACACCGGCCTGGCCCTGCTGTCGGTGAGTCTACCCTGAGGCCGACCTGTTCGCCGCTCGCCACCTATCGCCAGACTGGACAGGGGGACTTGAGCTCCCTGCTGGGCTGGCGAAGGGGAACCCCAGGAGCCCCAACTCTGGGAGTTCTCCCAGGGTGGGGACCCAAACCAAGATGCGGGCCAAGTCCAACCTCTCCGACTTTTGTCACTCTTCTCTTGGCCAGTCCGCAGTCTGCTGCATGATCGTGCCCTGGGAGGTAGGGCGGTCCTGGGTGTTGAGGCCAAGCCCTCAGACTCAGCCCCTCGGGGAAGGACTGGGCACCCAAGGCCTGCTCTGTGTTCTCCTTTCAGGTCCTTGCGCTGCTGTTGCTGGCTGTGCTCGTGAGGTGCCGCCGGCTCCGACCCCACCACGGGCCCGGCGGGCCTGGACTGCCCCGCTTGGTGCCGAGGCCTGGGCGCCCCCACTCAGGTGGCCCGGCTGACGGGGCCACTCTGGGACGGTGGGGGTTTGTTAGGTACCTAGAAGCAGCTCTGGCCTCAGGGACACCCCCACTTCTCTCGGCCCGGGGGCTCTCGCTACCCCTATCTGGATCCCCAGGTTTAGGCGGGAGCCCCAGAGGGAAGGGGAGGGCCGCACTCAGGTCCACCTGCTCCCGTGCCAGACCCAGGAGACACCAGCCCAACAGGGCCTGGCTCCAGGACGCATTACCTCAGGTGGCCCATGGTCTGGACAGGCGATGGCCATCCCATGCCATCTTGACCCTCATTTCCCTTGAAGGCATCACTCGGACCCTGATGCTTAATGGCAGATTATGAGGGACTGATCTCCAGTCCCCATGGCTAGGACTTTCTTCCCCCTCTCTCCTTCAGTCCTACAACCCCAAAGCCTGGGACAGGGATGACCCTGAGATGGAACTGGGCAGGCTCATATGGGAGAGATCAAAGGGTTGGGGGAGGTGGCAGTTGGAGTCCCAGTGCAGACAGCCTTGCCTCCCAGGCCCAGACCACACACCAAGGTGAGTCCTGCCATGATGGTTTTGTGGAGAACTAGCCTGGGTTTCTGTCACTGGTGGGCCCAGGTAAGAGTTGGCCCTGCCTAGTGGGGGGAGCAGGAAGCAGGATGGAGAAGGAAGCGGATGACCTCAGGGCATGAGTCAAGCTGGACAGATGCAGAAGGTCTGAGTGGCCTGCCCAGAGGGCTGATGCTTGGGACAGCTGTGCTCGTGGTCTGCCCTCTGCCTTGGGCCGCACCCCGGCCACGGCCGTGGCTGTAGCATAAGGATGTTGTGATTCTCTGAGCTCTCTGAAGATTTGCCAGCCCAGACAGACTGATTTGTGTGGAGGCAGCTGTTTCCTGGGGCTTCCAGGGTGGGCGGAGGGAGCAGCGCTCGGGCCTGTTCCTGCTGTGTGCGTGTGTATGGGGGTGGGGGCCGCATAGTTCTTGAGTCACTTTGCCACAGGGCCCAGAACTTGGGACACAGGAGGCACTCCACAGATAGTTGTGGAATGAATGGGTAACGGGGCCTCGGTTTCCTTCTGGAAAGTTTCCATCTCTACCTCCCTGACATTTGGAACACGGCATGGGTTCATGGGGGTGCAGGGCCCGAGCGACGCCCCTCTGTCCTCCCTGTCTCTGCACCAGCCCCGTGGATTTCTTGGCGGGGGACACGGCCTGGACAGTGCCTGCGGCTGTCTTCGTGGTCCTCTTCAGCTCCCTGTGTTTGCTGCTCCCCACCGAGGACCCGCTGCCCTTCTTGCCCTTGGCTTCACCCCCCAGCCGAGGTACGCAGCACGGCTGAGGCCCTGGGGCTGGACTGGTAGGATGGGCTGGGTGGGCATCCAGAGCATGGGGCGGGCTCTTCTGTAGTGAGTCAGGTACCTCCCATCCCCGTCATGAGCCACTGCCAAGAAGATGCTGTCCCGCGGACCTCCCAGCCGCACTGCACGACACCTGCCCTTCGTTGGTCCCAGCTGTCGGGGCACGGCTGCCCTCTCCACCTCCTCTGTTCTTGTGCCAACCCCTCTCCCAGAACAGCGCAGGTCTCTGAGAGTGAAGGGGGGTGGGCAGGAAGCAGTCGGGGTTCTGGACAATTGAGCTGGGCTCAAGGAAGTGACGGTACAAGGACAGTGGCCACCAAGAGGAGCCGCTGTCCTCAACATGACCTCTTTAGATCAGCCAGCCCTCACAGTGACTCTGCACAGGGTGGGTGTTGGCTCCATTTCACGCTGGAGGAGGCCGAGCGTCAGGGGAGGGAACAATAGGAAAGCCGGAGCTCAGTTTACTGACAACAGACTAAGCGCTGTGCTAAGCACTGTACATCTACCTTCTCGTTTTGCCTTGGCTAATACAGTACCATTACTTCCATTTTACAGATGGAGAAACTGAGACTCCAAGAGGTAACTTGCCCGAGATCACGAACGCTGGCACTAGTCAGAACCTGAATGTGAATGTGGGGTTCTTGCCCCCTGAACCAGCTGAGGGGCTCAGAAGGGGGAGGCAGGAGAGGGGCCTGCGGGGGGCCCCACATCTGCCGCTCCATCACGTGGCTCCCTCTGCCCGCCTTGCCTTCCAGGGCCATGGAAGATCATCGCCCTGCTCTATTACCCTGCCCTCTACTACCCTCTGGCCGCCTGTGCCACCGTGAGGCAGGGAGCTGCACACCTGCTCGGCAGCGTGCTGTCCTGGGCTCACCTTGGGGTCCAGGTCTGGCAGAGGGCTGAGTGTCCTCAGGCACCCAAGGTAACCACTGACTCACAACGGCCTGAGGCAGAGGGGCGCGAAGGAACTGCATAACCCGGGCAGGCTCCTTTCCTCTTCTTTACGTGTTGGACTTCTCTGCTGCCTTCTACTCTGCCCTGAATTCCCCTCCTGGGAACGCAGGCCCTTCCAACCTTGGGCACTCTGTGGCAAGAGCAGGGACAAGGGAGCTGGGCCTGCCCTCAGGAGCTTCCAGTCTGGGAGGGGGCAGGGAGGAGGAAGGGGCCAAGGGGGAGGAAGAGGGAGCCTGAAATCCCTCCATTATTGATTCCCCAGCCTTCCTTCGGCCAGGCTGGAGTGGGAGCGAAGAGATGGAGGAAGGCGAGCCCTGAACTGGGGGGATGGTCTTGGAGGGCTGAAAAGAGAATTCTAGAACCTCAGAACCTGGTTCACTGACTGCTGGCTGGGAGTGCCCAAAGGGTGGAGGCATAGGCCTCAGCCAGACAACCTGAGTTTGAACCCAGCTTCTTCCTCCCGCCCTCCTTCCTCCCGCCCTCCCTTCCTCCCTTCCTTCCACAAACATATCTGAAGCACATACTCTGTACAGGGACATTTCCCAGCACTGGAATATAGCTGTGAACAGGACAGATGAAGTCCCTAGCATCCCAAGAGCTGCCTTTCCAGAAGGGAAGATACAATAAATAAATAAATATACGGAATGATGCCAGGTGATGCTAAGTGCTTTGAGGAAATCATGTCACCATTCTGAGACTCAGTTTCCCTCCCTGTAAATGGAGTGGATAACACCAATCCTCCAGGGTAGAGATGAGGATTAGCTGGTTTCTTTGAGAACGAGGACTTGGTGCGTCTTTTTCCCCATCCAGAACCTGGCACATACTAAGCTCTCAGTAAAAATGTATTGAATTAACAAATAAATGAGTGAATGCAGAAGGAGCCCAATCCTGGAAAGGCCTCAGTGCCAGGAAGTAGGGCTTGCACTTCCCTGATGGCCAGGTCACAACTGTACACGGTCAATATTAGGCCTTTGTCTAATTTTCAGGGGCCTGTGCCCAGAGCCCAGGGACAAAGGAACATAGCAAAGGGGTATCTCCGGTTTCAGACCCCACGGTAGCCCCCTGGAGCAGGGAGGAGGGGATTTCTTCTAAGGGCTGTGGGAGTCCAAGAGCCCGGGAGAGGGGGGAGTAGGTCCGCAGGGCCTCAGAAGGGGAGTGGGAGTGTTTGTGCTGAGTGACCCGGGTAGGGGGGAGCATGAGAGGACCAGAAGCCTCAGACCACCGTCAGCCAGGTGGGAGTGAAGTGGGAAGGGACCTGGGTCCTGGTCTTCTGTCGGGGGAGGAAAGCAGAAGGTAGGTGTATCTGGGCGTCTGTCTGTCTGTCTAGATCTACAAGTACTACTCCCTGCTGGCTTCCCTGCCTCTGCTTCTGGGCCTCGGATTCCTGAGCCTTTGGTACCCGGTGCAGCTGGTGAGAGGCTTCAGGAACACGGCAGGAGCGGGCTCTGAGGTAAAGGGGCAGGGCTGGCCTGAGCTCCTATTCAGCACCCAGGATGCCCTGAACTCCTCCATGGCTGTTGGCTCCCTGTGCGCGGGCACAGCACATAGTAGGTGCTCAAAAATATTTGCCGAGTCACCAAGTGACAGGCTAGTCCTCCCTCTTGGAGCGAAGGTTAGGCCAGGCCCTGAGCTGGCACCCGGGGTACCTGGGGCAGCCAGGAGTCAGCAGAGGAGGGGCGGACCAGAGGACAGGGCAGTCCGAGCTCTGTTTCTGAAACCCCGAGGTGCCAGCCGGAGAAATGAGACAGGCCAGGAGACTGGTGCCTCCGAGGAGCTCTGCAGATGCCCAGGAGCCCCAGGAAGCTCCTGGGGCAGAGTCGCATTATGAATCAGTTCTAGGCTGCGTATGGTTGGATAAAGTCAGATAAAGGGGTGGACTGGGAGAACTGAGGCAGGCTCGGGGGGCTTCCTGGAGGAGGTTGACTTCAATAGGGACCCTGAAGGACAGGGAGGATCTGGAGCAGGGAGAGAATAAGGAGAAGGTCTTGCAGGTGTAGGAAAGAGGAGTAAAGGGGCAGACACGGGTTGTGTCTGTTTTGTTCACGTGTAATTTGTAGCACTGGGCGGGTCTTAGCTCATGTTAGATAATCAGCAGCTATTTCTGAAGTTTTAGATAGATGGGTGGGTAAATCATAGCGAGAGAGAATTCTTACAAGACAAGGCAATCTTATTAAGAAGCCTTCTAAGTGCCTACCAAGAGTCAGGCCCTGAGCAAGGGACTGCGGACTCAGAGCCGCTGGCCTGTGTCTGACCCCCAGGGGCCCCCAGGGCGCTGGGGGAGATGCAGGCAGCAACAGATAGTCACGCGTCAAAGTGAGAAGTGCAGCCGGGGCCCAGCCCACAGCCCTGGGTGAGGGCAGACACAGGGTCATGTACTCTTCTTGGTGGGAGAGGAAGAAGAAAACCACCCTACAGAGGCCCTCGAAGGGAGGCGGACAGCCTCAGGAGAGGTTGAGGACCCAGACGCCAAGGGGTTCAGTTACTCTCCAGTCGGGGAGGGTGAAGGCAGGGCTCACAGGGTGGCCTAGAGGACAGAGCAGCGAGGTGCTCACGCCAGTTGCTGAGAGATGAACACTGGATGTGGGTGGGTGCTCGGGGGGGCTGATGCGCAGTCGTGGGGATGTGGTGGGTGGCTGGACCAGGGGCCTGGGGCTCAGGAGGGGGGCTGGGATGGAAGCCAGAGAGGTGCCCCGAGGAGGGAAGGAGACCCAGGGGAGAAAGGCCTGTGGGCTCGGGTCCTCCAGCGGCCGCCCCGGGTCCTCCTTGGGCTCACCCAACTCCGGGTTTGGTAACAGAAGGGACCTCACGGGCAGTCACTACTGGCCTCCTGACATTCACACTCCTCTGGGGAAGCCCGATGTCCCCTCATTTTTACAGTTGACTCAGAAGAGGGGAGTGGCTCTCCCAGGGTCCCCAGTACACTGGTCACATCTCTACCCCCTGGGCCCTCTCCCTCCTCCTCCAGGGATCTTGGCTGCCTCACCTCTCCCTCCAGGCATGCCTCTCCTCCCGAGAAGTCCTGGAAGAAATAGAATCCTCTTTGGCCCTGCGGCAGAGAGGTTTAAGCCTCAGAGGCCCCAGTCAAGCTTTGACCTGACCCATACCTACCCTGGGTGGTGTGCGTGCGTGTGTGTTGCCATGGCAACAGGTGATAGGCTTGTATTCTAATGATCAGGGGCAAGGGCTCACCCCACCTTACCACGGGCCTCTGGAACTTAGCAGGCAGCTTTCGGCCTGGAATGTGGCTTAGACAAATCCGGCCACCCTTGTGATCTCCCTGGAGTAGCAGGAGAGGCCTGCGGGATGTGACCTGGAACGGCCCCAACCTGTGTCCTGCTCAGGGATGTGCCCATGGGACCTAGGCTTCCTTTTGCTCCAGTCTCAGCTAGCCAAGGCCAGGGGGCCGGGGCGGGGGGCGGGGGAAGCAATGAGCAGATGTGACTAAGTGAAGCAGGAGAGAGCTGGACGCAGCCCTTAGGATGAACCGCTCAGTGCTGAGTATTCCTAGGAGACTGGTTAGTCTCCTAGTTGTGGAGGAGAAAGGGCAGCTTTGGGGGGCATGGACCTCATCCCCACAGGCTGGCCCTTCTCTGCACCCTGCCACAGCCAAGAGGTTTTTATGGAGCCCCATGTGCTCACTGTGACACCCTGAGCCAGGGTCCCAGGGATGGCTCCGGGCAGGTCCCATCTGCTCGTCCATCTGTCTGTCTCCACAGGGGCTGCAGAGCAGCTACTGTGAGGAATATCTGAGGACCCTCCTCTGCCGGAAGAAGCTGGAGAGCAGGTGAGGTCCTAGGCAGCTGGTGGGGCAGAGTGACAAAGAAACCAAACTCTGGGGCTCGGGCCCAGGGCGGGGGCTTCTCCTGAGGGCACCTGCCTGCCTCCGTCTTTCTGCAGCTCCCACACCTCCAAGCATGGCTTCCTATCCTGGGCCTGGATCTGTTACCGAAACTACATCTACACTCCACAGCGAGGTACGGAGCTGTGGTTAAGAGTGGCAGGTGGGGCGCCTGGGTGGCTCAGTTGGTTAAGCGACTGCCTTCGGCTCAGGTCATGATCCTGGAGTCCCAGGATCGAGTCCCGCATCGGGCTCCCTGCTCGGCAGGGAGCCTGCTTCTCCCTCTGACCCTCCCCCCTCTCATGTGCTCTCTGTCTCTCTCATTCTCTCTGTCTCAAATAAATAAATAAAATCTTTAAAAAAAAAAGAAGAGTGGCAGGTGACCTCACCCACGCCTCGTGCAGAACAGTTGCCGTGGAAGGCCAGCTCCCGTCCCCCAGAACCCCCAGAACCCTCCAGGAGGAACAGCTCCAGCTGGGGACAAGGGGAAGCCCCTGGCCCAGCTTTGGTGGTCCAGGGTCCTGCAAGCCCTAGCCCTTTACCTGGGCCCTTTGGGAGGGAAGGGGGCTCCCAGGCCTGGGTGGGGCTGGGGCTTACCACATCCCTCCTTTTGGGGACTGCAGGATTCCGACTCCCTCTGAAGCTGGTGCTTTCAGCCACCTTGACAGGGACAGCCATCTACCAGGTAGGTCCTGCCCCTGTCATACCATTTACCTCTGGACCCCCGCCCCTGACTGCCAAGCGTGGGACAGCGTAGGCCCAGCTCCACTCTCCAAAAGCCTCAACCACAGTCCCACCTGGCTGCTTCTGGATATCTGGGGAACCCTGGCCTGCCCAGAAGAGAGGGGGTGTCAACTCTCACGGGGCTCATGTAGAGTCAGAACATGAGCTTTGGAGTCATACAAACATGGGTCTAAATCCTTGCTCCATTATTTACCTCCTGTGTGACCCTGGGCAAGTTATTCAACATCTCTGAACCCATTAGCTCAGCTGTAAAACAGAGGAAATAGAATTACTTTCCTCTTTGAGCAGTTTGGGAAGGTTTAGGCAGATTTGGGTAGTTCGGAAATAATATGCGTTTGAGAAATACTCCCCTCCATTGCCACCCCCAGAAAACCGAAAAGCCCAAATCCTGGGAGGTGGGTATAATTTGTCTCCATTTTACAGATGGGGGAAATTGAGGCTCAGACAGGTGAATCTGACTCGGCCAAGTTCCTCTAGCTAATACCTCAAGGTAGTCAAGATGTGAACCCAGGTCCGTCTAGCTTCAATGCCTGAGATAATCTATAGGGTACTTGGCTTTTGCCAACGTGGGAAATTGGAAACTTTCTATTCCACAGCTTAGATAGATAGATGACCGATAGGTAGACAAAGGTGCAGATAGACAGTTGTGCTGTTTGGAGGCACAGCAGGGGCCTGGTAGGCTAACGTCCTATCTCTGCAATGTGCTGGTGAGCACGCTGCTTCGGGGCCGCGGACTCTGATGGGTGCTGGGCATGGGGACGCAGCCTGCGCGCTGCCGGAGTTTCTGCCCTGAAGTCTCCCTATGAGCTGAGGAGACACTTCATCTGGGATGGGGGCCTGGTGTGAGCACAGCCAGGTCCTGGCACCTTCCTTGTGGGGCTCTTCCAGGTGGCGCTGCTGCTGCTGGTGGGCGTGGTACCCACCATCCAGAAGGTGAGGGCGGGGATCACCACGGACATCTCCTACCTACTGGCCGGCTTCGGGATCATGCTCTCAGAGGACAGGCAGGAGGTGGTATGGCTGGTGAAGCATCACCTGTGGGCTCTGGAAGGTGAGGCCTTCCGGGAGCCCCGGAGGGCGCCCAGTGGGGACACGAGCCGCATACCCCAGCTCAGTTCCAGCCTGCCAGGGACATGTGGGATGCTCCTGGGCATGTCCCTTCCTCTCTCTCTGGGTCTCGACTGCCTCCCCTCCAAACTGGGGTGGTCGTGGCTTCCGGTTCCAGGTCTCTGAGACCTGAAGGAGTCATCTGAGCGGCCCCTCAGCTCATGTGGTGTCTCCCACCCTCAGCTCCAGTGCCTTTGCTCAGCTCTCTGGGCAGGGAGACGGGCAAGGCCTCGGGATGTGTGAGCTGAGGGGACGGCCCCTTGAGTCTTGCTGAGGGGAGGGAAGGAGGGAAGGAGGCAGTGGTGTGGGACACTGGGCCAGATTCTGAGCTAATCGCCATGGCGGGGGGTGGGGGGGTAGGTTGGGCAGGGCGATGCTTCCTGTCCCCAGTCCCTGTCCTCCTGGGCCATCTCCATTCTCCTTCCTTCCCTTGACAATGAGCCCCCGGGCCAGGAAACCATACCAGCCTCCACTTCTGGGGTATGATGCCTCCTTCAGCCCTTAGTCTGGTCATCCACCTACACCACCTCCCAGGCCCTCCCAGTGGCCCCTGTGGAGGAGGTCGAGAAGTGTCCACACCTGACACGCAGGGAAGGATTCACTTGTGGTCGTACAGCTGGGCAGAGTGGAATGAAGAGAGGAACACGGTCTCCTGACACCTTGCTGGGGCTCTCTCCATCATCTTGAGACAAGGCCTGGTGGTCAGGAATCCTGGGGCCTGCAGCATCTGCTGACTTGGAGTCCCCGGGAGATTTCTCTAAGTTGGCCGAAAGCCGGACCACAGGCAGGGGCCCACATGGCCCACCTCCGCCCAGGGTCGGCCCCCTGCTTACAGCAGCCCTGTTAGGTCGGCGTCATCAGTCCTCACCCGCGGCACAGGAAATGAGGCTCAGAGCGGGAAGTGACCTGTCTGGGATGGTGGGCTTTGCTTCTACCCCCCACACCGACATTTAACATCGCATGCTGCAGTTTCCAAGCCTCAAGGCCTCCACTCTGGATCTTCTTGGATTCAGGCGCCAAACAGAGCAAGCAGCGTTTACCCTCCTAGTCCACAGATGAGGAAAACTGAGGCCCAGGAGGATTAGAGCTATGCCCAAAGCCACTCAGCAAGCCAGGGTCGGAACTGAGATTATATCTGGGCCCAGGGGCCCTTTGATGTCTCCTTAGCTTAAGGAGCTAATGTCTTCTGAACACCGAGAGCTGTTTTAGGCTGCCCACTGGGCACCTGGACCATAAGCCTGGCATCGCTCACAGAGGGCTCAGCCTCTGAGTCAGGCAGACTAGATTAGAACTCCCGCTCCATCACTTATAAGCTATGTGACCTTGGGCATGCCACTTCACTTCTCTGGGCTTCAACTTCCCTACTGCAAAAGGTGTCAAAGCTACAAGGGCAGCCTTGTCCCTGAGGCCCTCCATCCCTTGGGGGAAGTCAGATATCTACCAAGCAGGGTCCCAGAGGAAGCAAAGAGCAGGAAGATTTTATGGGTACTGGGGTTTGGAGAGATCCAAGTTTGGAACCAATTGAGGGAGAGAAGAGCAGGAGGTAGATGGATGAAGATCAAAAGCCAGGCCTGGCGCCAGGGGGGGCTTGCTCACCCCTCACCCTGTGTTAACCTGTTCACTCACATGTGCAGGCTCAGCAGGCAGACCCCTCACCTGGCAGGAAATGTCCAGAACGCCCTCCTGCTGGTGCTGAGCTCGCTGCCGAAGGGCAAGCGGGGCCGAGCAGAGCTGCACATGCCCAGTGCTCTCTTCTGTAGCATTGTTCTCGACCCTGGCTGCGCCTGAGAATCGCCTGGTAACTTCTTTAAAATCCCGAGGCTCAAGCCTCTTGCTGGACTCCAGAAGCGCTGAGGGTGGGGCCCCGCCTTTACGATCCAACCAGCCCGCCTGGGGATTCCCATTCAAGCCTAACTTTGAGAACCGCTGTAGCAGGCACTTGATACCTGCCGGTGGGTTGGTTGATTTCAATCAACTGCTGATTGAAATGAATCATGAAGGCTCTGTCTTTGGAAAGCTCCCAGTGCAGCGGTTCTCAACCCAGGCTGCACGCAAACTACAAAAGCTAGGGACTGGGTCCCACACCCAGAAATTCTGACTGAATTGGCCTGGGGTGCCGCCTGGGCCATGAGGGGTTTTCACAGCTCCAGGTGGCCCCTCTGTGCTGCCAGTGCCGAGACCCCCCTCTCCAGCCCCGAGGCTATGTGGGACTAGTGCGTGCCTCTCCCCGTGTGTTTGCGCCCGCTCCCGAGGCTCTGCGTGGGACGCAGGCTCCAGCAACCCTTCCCCCGGATGACTGATGAGATCAGGGGCAGGCACCCGGGGCTGATTCTGGGTCTGCTTGGAAACAGTCACAGGCCTCTCAGCCCATCACTTGCCAGCAGTGTGACTGGCGGGTCAGGCTCTCTCGCTGAGCCTCGGCTTCCTGGTTGGCCCAGTGCCTCCTCGGTGGGGTTGTTGCGGGGGTGCAGACCGAGGCGGGGTGTGGATGGAGGGCGGGAGAGCTGCAGCCTCAAGTCCCTAGGAGGCCTCGATACCTCGGCTGCTCGCAACGCGCTGTGCATTCTCCCCTGTTGCCGAGGATGCAGCAAACTCATTATGTGTGGGCATGGCCGGGGCTGGGGGGGCAAGGAGCTGGGCAGGAGGGGCCACCGCCAGAGGAGATGGGTAGCAGTGGTCACCTCCCTCCTTCTGAAGGACACAGGCCACACTGACATGGACTCACACCCTCTGTGGGCCCACACATGACATGGGGTTTTATGGCCCATGTCATACTGGGAGCTAGGCAGCCGGGCACGAGCAAGCCAAGGCTGGGAGACCAAGGGGCCCCCTGAAGGCCATACGGCCAGGAAGCCAAGGAGATGGAGGCAGTTGCCAGGTTGGATGGTGTCTCTCTCTGGGGATCACACAGCAATGGAAGCAGCAAGACAAGGGTGGAGACCAGGTCTGCAGCCTCGGAGCTGGCCTCTCCCTGTCCTGGCCACCATGTCACTGGGCAGGAGGGGAGGGCTGAGATTGTTGACTTGTACTGCCTCTGAGAATGAGGTGGGCGGGGGGAGGTGGCAAGGGGCCTCCGCTCAGGGCAGACGGTGGGTATGGGGCAGGACTAATTCCCACCCAGGCACCCCCCTGGGGGCAGTTCAGGGGCTCCCACCTCCCACTTTGCTCCCTCTCTGCCCCTCCAGTTTGCTACATCTCGGCCTTGGTCCTGTCCTGCTCACTCACCTCCCTCATGCTGATCCGCTCACTGGTGACGCACAGGTCAGTGGCAGGGTCTGACCCCCGGTGCAGATGTGGGGAAGAGGTGCGGGAGCCCTGAGCCAGGAGGCCTGCGGGGCAGGGCCTGGGGCTGGACGAAGGGAGAGCCACTGCAGGCCCAGGTTGTCCCTGTGTCCCGCCCCTCCCAACCCCCCCACCCAGCTGCCCCGTGGTGGGTGGGGAAGGTGGGGCCTTCCCGTCTGGTGGGAGTGATACAGGGCTCAGCTGAGCAGGGCTGGGGGTGGACTTGGCCCTCTGAGAAGGGACCGCTGGGCGGACTGATTCAATGGGGAAGGCAGCCTGGAAAGCCAGCCCTCCACCTGGGATCGGAAGAAGAGGCAAGAGCTGAGGGAGGGAGAGGGCGCGCCAGGGCCGGAGGGACTGTGTAAGAAGCAGCAGCGGGGGTGAGGCTGCCACACGCCAGGGTGGGTGTGGAGGTGACCCGGCTGGCGCTGGGGCACTGAAGAGATTGTGATGGGCCACTGAATGCCAAACTGTCTCGCTTGCCCTTTCACGGGGAGTGATATGGAGCTGAGTTGTGAGTGGAGAGGGAAAGAAGGTTCTAGTTGTGAGCAGGGTGCTTGGGAAGGGGAGCAATGTCAGAGAGTGCATTTGCCAGGCCTCAGGGTTTTTGTGCAGGGATCTCTTCCCACAGGGTTGGCTCTACTTTGGCTGGCACTCAGGCCCTCAGGCCTCTGCCTGCCTGGAACCTTGCCTCCTGCCCTGGTGGCTGATCTGCGAGTCACTTTCCATCCCTACTGTTGTTTCCTCACTTTTCTGACTTGGCTCAGGTTTGAGCCTTCTGCCTGAATTTGTCTCCCTTGATCAGGCCTTGCCCCTTACCTTGCTCTGACACTTACTCTTATTCATCCCTTAAGACTCTACTCAGATACCACCTCCTCCAGGAAGCCCTACCTGACCTCCCAGCCTGGGTTAGTAACCTCTGCAGGGCTCCCACAGCCCTTGGCTTTCCTGTCCGTGGCCACAGGTTGTAAGTAGACAGGGAGTTCCACCAGAGGAGGAATCTAGGGAGTGTGTGTGGTCCCTGAGATCCCTGCCTTCCTCTCCCCCTCTGCCCTCCCCTCCCCCAACCAGGGCCAATCTGCAAGCTCTGCACCGAGGGGCCGCCCTGGACCTGGGCCCCCTGCCCCAGAGTCCCCACCCCTCCCGCGAGGCCATATTCTGTTGGATGAGCTTCAGCGCCTACCAGACAGCTTTTACCTGCCTTGGTGAGCCCCCCTTGCCACCCCACCTGGCTTCAGCTGGCCCCAGAAACTGGCCCCAGTTGGGAAGGGGAGAGCACTCAGCAGGTCTGGGCTGCCCCTGGGTGTCTGCCTGTGCTGGGCGAACTCCGGGGTGAGAATAAGAAGAGGGACCCACCTTGCCTTCTCTGCCTCCAGGAGGCTCGCTCAGGTTCGGGGAGGGGGGGCAGATGCAGAAGCCCCTGGGGAAAGGATACCCCTCACGTGAGGATAGCCCCTCAGGGCCACTAGCCATTTACACAGAGGGTGGACCCAGGGCTGCAAGGTGGGAACTTCAAGGAGGCATATTCCTGCTTATATAAGAGAGTGTTATGCCGCGGTGGGCTGCCTTGGAGATAATGAGATCCCCGTCACTGGGGATATGCAAGCAAGGTTCTGTGGTCACTCTTGGGGCTGCAAAGGGGGTCCTGCCCTGAGAGAGTTAGGTTAGATTAATTTCCAGGACCCCTCCTACCTCCGAGTTTCTGATTCTTCCCAGGGGCTGTACAGTGAATAAAGCCCTCTGAAATGTGAGGGGGCTGGGCTCAGTGTTGCAAAAGTGAGGGCCAGATTCCCTTCCCTGACGGTTCCTTCAGTTCTCACCTCCCTGGGGGAGGAGGAGAAGAATGATAAAGGAGAAGAGGAATGACTAGTACAAAAAGTTGGCATTCCTCATCTTGGTAGATTTTATACCTCCCAAGCTCTTTTACACGCATTACGCCGTGTAAACACCTAGCCATTTGTTTCAATAGACGGCTTTCTGGGGTCAACTGTGTGTCAGTCTCTGGCCAGTAGGAATGCAAACATTAATTTAAAATGCAATCTTGTCCCCAAGGACTCAGGGGCAATTGGGGGAAAATAACGTTTGCAGAGCACTTTGTGGTTTTCAAAGAGTCGCCACAGACATTATACTGGATCGTCCCAACAAGCCTTCTGAGGTAGGGGCCACTACCCCATTTGACAGAGGATGAACAGGAGTTCAGAGAGGTAGAGGAACTTGCTCCAGTTGGCACAGCTAGGCAGTGGGAGAGCAGGGATCTGCATCCAGGCTTGCGCCATTCCTAAGCCCTTGGGTTCCTGGGAGTGCCAGGGTGGGCTGGGTCCCGCACAGCCTAATGTCCATCCCCCTGCACTTCCCCATCCTGCAGGGCTCCTGGTGCAGCAGATCATCTTCTTCCTGGGGACCGTTATCCTTGCCTTCCTGGTGTTCATGCCTGTGCTCCATGGCAGGAACCTTCTGCTCCTCCGATCCTTGGAGTCCTCATGGTGAGAGAGGCAAAGAGTTGAGGGCTCTGGGACCACTTCCCAGAGGACTACTAATAGTGACTTCCTCCCCACCCCACTTGCAGGCCCTTCTGGCTGACCTTGGCCCTGGCTGTGGTCCTACAGAAAATGGCAGCCCACTGGGTCTTCCTGGAGACTCACCATGGACACCCACAGCTTACCAACCGGTGAGGAGGCTCCTGGGCTTGTGGTACCTCCAGGACCTCAGCCTCTTCTTCGGTGTCTTTCTTGTAGTGTCTTTCTCCCTCCACTGCCATCTCTCCCTTTCCTCTCTCTCTCGGGAAGCCCAGTGGGGAGTAGGAGAGCTTGCCTTACCCAAACGGAAAGGGAACAGTGGCCCCCCCTACTCGGAAATACTTCTCTATTCACCTGTTACAGTATCAGAAATATGAGCCACGAGCCTTTCCTGCTTTGGGGGTCAGCACTGCTCTCCCCTGGATCCTCTGTGTCCTCTAAAACCCTGTACCTCCCCCTTTGCAGGAAGGAGGTTAATTGAAACATTATTTCCATGTTAGGTGGAAAGGCTGTGGGAGGACCTCAGCGCCAGGAGGGACTCAGAGTCAGTGGACAAGAGACCTAGAGGAGGGAGGTGGGAGACAGAAAGATCCAGGCCATAAGCCCCAGGTCTGCCACTGACTAGCTAGACAGCCTTAGCTAAGCCACCCGATCTCTCTGGGGCTCAGTTTCCCTTCTATAGAAGAGAGTACCACACCCGCTCCCAGGGTGGTGGGGGGCAAGCTGGCTTGAGAGAGCAGGCCCAGCACAGGGCACGGTGCTTCGAAGGTGTACTCGATAAATGGTAGGTAGTCAATAAACACACAGCAGCTGTGCTCATCCACGACTGACCCTGACCCTGAGGAAGGCTCTGTGTGTGTGTGGGGGGGGGCAGCCTCGGCCTTTTCTCTCCCCACCCCCAGGCGAGTGCTCTACGCAGCCACCTTCTTCCTCTTCCTCATCAACGTGCTGGTGGGCACCATGGTGGCTGCCGGGCGCGTGCTCCTCTCCGCCGTCTACAATGCCGTCCACCTTGGCCAGATGGATCTCAGCCTGCTACCGCCCCGAGCAGCCACTCTCGACCCCGGTAAGGTCGCTAGGCAGGGGCCATGAGCAACTGTGGCTCGGGCTGTGCAAGCAGCAAGGGAGAATCTGTCCTGGCCTGGGCCACGTTGCACTGTGTCCCGGAGCCTGTCTGTGACCCTGTGGGGCGAGTGTGGGCAGCGGGCCCACGTGCGGTGCATGTCCCACCTGCTCGGGGGCAAGGTGCGTGGGAGGGGGGCCCTCCTCCCCCCAGCATTGTCGTCCTCCCCCCCTCCCAGGCTACCACACATACTGCAGCTTCCTGAAGATGGAGGCCAGCCAGTCACATCCGGCCACGACTGCCTTCTGCACCCTGCTCCTGCAGACCCAGCAGCCCCGGCCTCCCCGGGCCCCCCAGGACGGCCTCAGACAGGGGGAGGAAGAAGAAGGTGCACCTTCCCCCGGGAGATGGCGGGAATTGAGACCACCCCCTTCTCTAAGGGACGAGGCACACCTCCTCCCCACCACATGGGATGCATGTCCAACGTACAACATAGGAGTGCCAGGAAAATGCTTACTTCCTCTCTCCCTCCGAGGCCTGTGGGAGAAAGGAAGTGAGAAGTTTCCTGGCCCCTGTCAGGGTGATTTTTTCCCACGATACAAACATACCCTATCTCCCTCTCCCCATTCCACAAGCTTGCACACACACCCCCTTCTCACACACAGAATGAGATGTCTCCCCCCTTCCTCCCTGCCTGGAAAGTGCGTAGTAGGGAGGGGGGCACTGGGCTGGCTGTCCCAGCCCTTCCTCCAGTCCCTTCCATAGAGCTGTCCCCTCCGTCTTCTGTCTGCCACCTGCAGATGACATCCTGAGCCCTTACAAACACCCCTCTGCAGCCCACGCTTCTCCCCACCTCCTGCTCAGTGAGCAGGCCCCCCAGCCTCCCCAGCACTGCACGTGGGATTTTCAGACTGCTCCGGGCTGGTGCTAGGGGGCGTGGCTGGGTGTTTGCTGAGTGACTCACAGAAAGTCTCCCTCTCAGGGATGCAGCTGCTGCAGACCAAGGACCCCGTGGCCAGGGGAACAGGGCCCAGGGCCCGCCAAGGCAGGGCCCGCTGGGGGCTGGCCTACACGCTGCTGCACAATCCGGCCCTGCAGGCCTTCCGGAAGAGGACCCTGTCGGGTGCCTAGGTCAACGGAGCCCAGCCCTGAGGGTGGGGAAGCCGCCGTGTCCTTGTCTGTGCTGGGGTGCTTCCCCCCGCCTCCAGCCCCCTCCCTCCCAGCTTCCCCAGCATCCTCCGAGCCACCGCAGCCTCGGGGCCCGCAAGTTCCGGGGATCGGCATGAGCCGCCAGCACCAGAAGCCAGGGGGCGCTGTGGTTGGGTGGAGGTCTGTCCCGCAGCCGCAGCCTCGGGAGCGCTCTGGCCTGCCCCCTGGTCTTGGGAAGCCGGGGAGGGCTCGGGAGGCAGTAATCCGTGGTTTCGGCCGTGGTCTGGGAGGCAGTGGAACTGGGGCGGCCACCTCCAGGCCCCTCCCCAGGCTGGCTCTGCCACCAGCCTGAGCTCACGCAACCTTCTCCTGACTGGGGTCGGTGAGTCAGGCCAGAACAGCCTCAGGTTCCAGCTCAGCCCCACCTCAGCCTTGGATGCACCACCACGGAACCAGACACAGAGCTTCCTCTCTCCTCCAGCTTCCCCCTCTCCTCTCCGGGGCCCCGTGCCTTCCTGCGAGGCAGCCCAGGAGGAAGCCATGGGCTCCTACCAGGCAGCAAAGTCATGGCCCCAACCAGGCCCCACACCGAGCTGGCCACACTTGAGAGCCCGATATTTTTGCAGTTGGTATGCCTTTAGATATTATGAAAGAGATTAGTGTGCTTCCCGTAATAAACTTGTCCCTGAGAAACAGTCCTCCTCCGGGGCGGGGTACGTGGGGGAAAACTGCCAGTAAATCAGCACTGCATTAATGGGGCTTGGGGTGGGGGGGTATTCTGCTCCCATGTGGGGCTGGCCACGTGGTGTGGGCCAGAGGAGGACCCATGGCCATATCCCTTTGGGTGGTAGAGGGACTGGGGACCCTATGGCACCACCCCTGAGCTATGTGGACATTGGCTTTGGAGGTAGGACTTTTTCTGGGCCGTCAAGAATGGGCAGGACTTGGGGAGGGGAGATTTCAGGAAGACGGGGAGCATTATGAATAAAGGTGTGGAGGCGGTGGGGAGGCACAAGGCAGAGCTGTCCTAAAAGGAATGGACCCCATGCGTTGCGAGGGGGTCCCTTCCCTTGCTGGGGACTGGTGGAGGCGGGGGATGTGTGACTCAGGGTGTGGGCTCCACTGTGGGCCTGGGGGCTACAGAGGGTAGGGAAAACGTGGCCACTCCACAGATCTGGGTCGGTGGGACCTTGAGAAACGTCTACGCAATAGTGGAGACCAACCTCTCTCCTTGCCCCCATTCCTGCACCCCCACCACAGCCTCAGATACACAGGAAGCGAGGGGTAGAGCCAGGGAGCTCACACCCACCTTCAAGGCTGCCCGTGAGGAGAGCAAAGAGGGCAGGCCCTGATCCCACTGCAGTCCATTGAAAAATATCTTCTTGGCGGGGTAAGGCAAGCTCTCCTACTCCCCACGGGGTCACAGAGATGAGAAGGCAGACTGGGTCTCTGCCCTTAACAGGGAAACAGACACAATGGAGTATGATCAGGCTGGGACACCGGACGCCCAGGGCTGTGTGAGCCAGAGGAGGGGACCTCATCCACATTGGGAGGGAGTGGGAACGGCATCCAGGAAGGCTTTTTGGAGGAGGTGGTGCTAGAGCCGACTTAGCCAAGGGCGAAAGAGGGGAAGTGTGTCCAGACCAAAGGAACGACATGTGTAAAGGTACAGAGGGTAACACATCACAGACGATTAAGGGAACAATCAATTCGCAGGTCCAACAGAGGCACGGAGCAGTGGTTCTCATCAGAGAATCAGGCACAGGGGTGATGCACGGCTGGCTGGGGAACTTGGCCTTCACCCTGAGGGCTGGGGGAGCCACGGATGACTTTAAAGCAGGGAGTGGCTAGTTCATTCAGAGCACAGTGTTCCCCAGCTGCCCCTAACTCAGGTCTTAGGCCCAGGTCCCACTTCCAGAAGACGAGCTTGCTCCGCTGTGAATGGAGCCAGAGAAGTCAGGGGTCCAAGCTGGGTTAGGATATCAAGCCTTAGATGATCAGAGTAATCGGGCCCTTAAGTATCCTACCCGTCCTTTGTTTTCTGAGGAAACTAAAGCCCAGAGGTGGGCAGTGATTTGCCTAAGGTGGCACAGCACCCGGGACTTGGGTCCATCCTGCTCTTTCCACCAGACGCGCAGTCACCCTTGACATGTGCTGCTGGTGATGTCAGCTCAGCCGGAGCCACGAGCTGCTGAGGGGGTGGGGGGAGGTTCTGCCTGGGGACCAGGAGGAGGGGGATGGGGAGCTGGCCAGCCTCCAAGGTTCACAGCTGCAACCCCAGGCTCCTTGGCCTCCCTGCCTCCACTTTGCTGGGCTCAACAGTCTTGAGCGTAGAGCTTGGGAGGCTGCAGAGCCTCTCCTGCTGGGGGTCTTGTCCCTGTGGGCAGCACCCTTCAGTCTGGAAAGAGGTGGGGACGGAGACATATCTCTGACTGGGCACAGATACGGGGATCGGTCTCCAGGTTCCGACTCCATGTATGTGCTCCCCACTCTAAGAGACCCGCAAGATGCTGCCAGGACCTCACCGCCCCCCTGCCCCCAAGTCAGTCACTGATCCACCTGCTGTGTGGGAAAGACTCCAAGGCCAGACTTTCCTCCAGGAGTACCATTTCCTCTTCCTGGAAAGCACTGTTCATCTCCTCCCCCCTCGAAGATGCTCTCTTATTCTCGATCTCTGAGTCTTTCTCTCTCTCCCCCTTCTCTCTCCACTGCCCTGTGTCCCCATCTCCTCCTTTCTCTTTCCTCTCCATCTTGCCTTGTCAGTCCCGCATTTCCTCTCCATTTCCTACCATCTCTTCCAGGAGCTGGACCGGGAAGAGGGGCCACAAGCAGGGGACTCCCATTCCCCGTCCTCCTCCACAAGGGCTCCCCAGGTCACTGCTGGCAGGAAGCCCTGCTCAGGGCCACGAGGACCCCAGGGAAGCCTCTGTAATGGTTATCAGGCCTGCACCCCCATTTGTCCTGTGGGCTAGTTTGAAGAGAGAGAACATCTGCGGTTCAGCTCAGCTCAAGGCCCAGCCCCCGGCCCCCGGCCCCCCGCCCCCGGCGCCTGGCCCCCGGCCCCCCCCTTTCGTGCTGCCTGCTACACAGTCTGTGTGTGCCTCGCGGGCCCCACCACGTGTGAACAGGCAGCCTGGGCGTCCTGATTCTCCAGCACCCTATCCTATCCCAACCGGGGTGGTAAGGAGGGGTCCTAGATTCAGACAAAACGCCAGGCAGACACAAAGTGAGCATCAGAAATGCTGTTTATTTCTCGGCCGCCCCTGGGATGGCCAGCCTCTTTGGAGGGGCAGGCCACAGATGCACACTTGGAGAAAAGGCAGGACAGCTGTCCAGGGTGGAGGGGCACAGGGCGGGAAAAGATGCAGGCCATCCTGGATCCTCCCTGTCTGAGATGAGGGCACTGATTCCTGAGCCCCCAGATCATCAGAGAATACCAAGAGGCAGCAAGAGCTCAAGCAGGTCACCAAGAGCCCAGAGCCATGCCAACCACTGCCCCTAGACCCTATTCCTCCCCCCGTGCCCTGTCTGCTTCAGGGTCCCTCCCTGCCGAGCCCCCGGCCCCAGCCCCGTGCCCCCAGCCTTTGCCAGCTTGTCGGTCCCAGTGTCTGGAACGCCATCGGTGGGGCTTCACCCAGTTGGTTAGGGCATGGCCCTGACCAGGGGAGCAAGGGCAGGGTGGCTAGCAGCAATCAGCACCGTGGACGGTGAGTATGGAATCAGGTTCTGTTCTAGTCACTAGCTTTGAGCAAGTTTAGAAGTTGGGGGTGGTGAGTGTTCCAGAAGAGATGAGAAGGGAGGTAGGAAGACTCGAAGTCCCCCAAGCAGGCTTGGGAGTTGCCACCCTCAGCCCCCTGCGCCACTTACAAGGGACATCTGTGATGTCCGCGGGGGGTAGTCAGGGAGGCCCTGGCGTTGCTCCAGCCCGGCCCAGGGTGGGGGCGTAGGGGCAGGCTAGAAGGAAGTGAGGAAGATGAGGAGGAGGCTCTGGCCTAGCAGGAGCAGGCCGGGGGGTCGTTGCCCAGGGCCCCCTTCTCCCGCTGCTGCAGCCTCGGGGCCCCCAGCGCGGCTGAGGTAGATGATGACAACGTTGTCCTCCGGACCCGAGGGCTGCACCTCGTTGTCCACCGTGTAGCAGCCCTTCCCCTCGGCCGCTTTGCCGTGGAACCTGCGCCCCAGCACATCCTCGCCGCCCTCCCCAGGTGTGGCCAGCGCCACGTTCACCGAGCTCTCCGCACTGCCCAGCTCGTTGGTGGCCAGGCAGCTGTAGGTGCCCTCCTCCAGCTTGCCGAAGTCGGGGATGAGCAGGCTGCCGTTGGCAAAGGCCCGGAAGCGCGGCCGGCTGGCCGGGGCGCCGGGCAGGGCCCGCCCGTCGGCAGCCACGTTGGGGCTGGCGATCTCCACGGTGCCGCCCGGCGTCTGGATGTGCCAGTGAAGCTGGGGCGCCGGTTGCCCATCCACGTCGCAGTGGAGGGCCAGCACGAAGCCAGGCCGCAGCTCGGCGCCGTCCTGGCTGGGCTGGTAGGTGAGCTGCACGGAGGGCGCCGAGCAGGGCAGCGGCAGCAGGCGGCTCAGCGGTGTGCCCTTGAGCACGTGGGGCGACGCGCAGGTGATGTTGTCCTGCTCTGGGATGGACACGGCCGTGGTCAGGGCCCACGTCTTGAACCACACGATGCCGCAGGTGCAGTCGAAGGGGTTATCGTTGATCTGCAGGTGGGACAGCGCGGTGAGCGGCGCAAAGGTGCCCTCGGCCAGCGTGTGCAGGCGGTTGTGGTTGAGCTGCAGCGAGCGCAGGGTGCGGAGGCTGCGGAAGGCGTCCCGGGGGATGAAGGTCAGCTCGTTGCTGTCCATCTTGAGCAACTGGAGGGCACTGAGGTTGTGCAGGTCGCTCCAGGCAAAGTCAGAGATGAGGTTGTGGCTGAGGTCCAGGCTCTTGAGATTGCCCAGCGGGGCCAGGGCGCCGGCGGCCACCGCGCGGATCTCGTTGTGCGCCAGCCACAGCGACTGCAGGAGGGGCACCTCCCTGAAGGCCCCCTCTGGCAAGCTCGGCAGCCGGTTGGCTGACAGGCTCAGCGTGGTCACGTTGGCCGGGAAGCCGGGTGGCACGGCCTCCAGGTCGCGGTAGGCGCAGTCGGCGATCTGGAAGCCATACTTCTCCCCACAGTCGCAGGGCTCAGGACAGGCCTGCGCCAGGCCCAGGAGGACCGCCCAGCACAGCAGACGTAGCTCCTGCATCCTACCTCCTGCAGAGAAGGGCATGCCGCCAAGGTGACCCTAAGGACCCACGCAAGGCGCTCGTCCCTCTCAGGACCCCAGCCAGACAGGGCTCTTCCCCATCAGAAGGTCCTGCCCCACAGAATCCAGCTAAGACCCAGCACCACCTTAGCCCGCAGCCCATTCTACAGAAGGGGAAACCAAGGCCCCAAGAAGGGCCAGGACTTGCCCGAGGTCATGTAGCCAGAAGAGGCGAAGACGGGACGGAAGAGGACCCCAGCGCCTCCTCTGAGCAGAGAGCTCTCCCTGGCTCGGCCAGCTCCGAGCTGACTTTATGACTTGAAATCCGTTTTCAGCCGCCCCCTCCCCCAGCACTCCGCAGAACCTCCCTCCTGCCCTCCCACATCCTGGCCACAGTCCCTCCCACCGGAGCCCCCCATAGGTATGCTTTGCCCCAGCCCAGACAAGGC